AACCAAGTGATTCTTGTGTTTTGCAGCATGCTCTTAAGAACTACTCACTGGTTTTCGATGCTGTTTACACACCAAAGATGACCAGACTCTTGAGGGATGCTGAAGAGTCTGGAGCAGCTATTGTTCCTGGATTGGAGATGTTCATCAGGCAAATATATGAACATTATGAGGGGTTCACTGGGCTGCCTGGTAAGAAAGTCAAAATAACCTATTAGTTTCTCCTTCCAAGTATTTTGCTCCATCATCTGACCCTTTTGTTCTGTTTATTACAGCACCCAAGGAACGTATTAGGAAGATTTTGGCAGGTAACTAATGATGTGCTGGCTTATCCTAATTGTTCTCAATTGGCTCTTTTCCTTCAATTCCCTCCATTCGGTAAGATTTTTTATCTTCCTATTGTAACGGTCAAGAACCATGTTTGAGAAATCGAGGACCTATTTGAGGCGGATAACTGTATACTATCATTTTTTTTTGTAAGAACTGTTTCTTATAAAATAAGATGGAATAAGTATTAATATCGAACCTCTGAGTCTTTTCTTTTCCGATATCTCCTAGATTATAAGCTAAAAAAATTGTCTCCTCCCTAGCTTTCGTCTCTCAGTGTCAGTGTCGGCCCAGCAGAGTGCTTTCGCCGTTGGTGTTCTTTCCGATCTCTACGCATTTCACCGCTCCACCGGAAATTCCCTCTGCCCCTACCGTACTCCAGCTTGGTAATATCAAGAACCAATCCAAGCATAGTTCAGTGGTTATATTTATCACAATACTTCAATCTTCATTCCGGTAAAAAAAAGGTATTTATTATTAATTAATAAAAATCTATATATATGTATATAGTGAAACTTCAAAAAATAAAATTTAAAGCCTCTATCCCTCTCAATTTTTTTCTCAGCCCCACATTTTTATCAAATATCAAGTATCTGATAATGTTGTCGAACTAATCAAGTAAATCCAAGTGATTTGAGGGCTAAAAAAGCTCACTGAAGATGATGTGCATCTCATCCAGATGAGGTTCTTATACATTTGAATCAATGTTTGTGGGGTGCCCTTTTTAGACAGTGATTGTACACCTACCTAACTTTATTGGATTTCTTCCCATTTCTCTCTTTTGACTGTTTGAACTATCCTGAAAATACATCAGCCAAACCAATGATTCATTAATTTCACAAATGAAATCTCAAGGGCGTTTAGGGCGCTGAGTTGGGTTAGAATACATGCAAAGAATTAAACATTAGAATTCATTGTTCTAAGATCAACCTCAATGGACTAAGATAATTGAGAGGAAAAATGGGATAACCTCTAAAATCTGTAATCGCAGGGCCTTGTGTGAAAGCAGGAGGCCATCTTTTTAATGCCAAGACGGCAAAGAGAGAATTGACAAGGACACAACACACTCTCTCTTTTAAGTGGTACACTTACACAGTTTAACATCACGGTCAATTGCCCCACATGTCTATAAAGCTTCAAGCTTCCATGGAATAGTCCAAATGCGTCCATATAAAAGGCACACTCAAATCATGTCCAAGCAATTTGCTCTCATTGTGGAAGAAAAAGGGGCATCAACAATATAAGGTTACCTTATAAAACAAGAGAGTTTGGGATGGCTGTGAATTGCAGATTTCTGGTGTTTGTGGCTCTGTTTCTGCTTTGTTTTGCCTCAACCACAGTTACAGGTAAGGGAATGATTTCTTAAATACTTCAAACCCTATTTTTATAGGAACAAAAAACAATCAAATATTAGTTCTTAAGCACTTAAAAAAGACAAATATTAGTTCTTAAGCACTTAAAAAAGACAAATATTAGTTCTTTCAAGTGAACCTTAAATAAGTAAAAAGTGGGGGTGTGATGTTATCGTTTTGTAGGGAGAAGCATGAGAGTTGTTTTTATGGAGGAAGGAGATGAAAGGCCTGAAGATCTTTTAGTGCATACAAACAAGGACAAAAAGATGGAAGGCAGTGATGAGTTGGTGGTAATGGATTACACTCCTGCTTTAAAGAGGCCTCCAATCCACAACTGAGATATTTACACCATATCAAGCTTGTAGCTGATTATCATACTGTCACTGACATGCTTCTAATCAATCACAAATGAAGCATAGAACTCGATTTTAGTTGAACCATTACAATGAAAATCCAGATGAAAATTTGATAAGATATGCTTCTAATGTTTTCTGACTAGTAATTATATTCATTCCTAATTGTACATATAATTTTCATTCGAACAACAGTGGAAATATCTAATCTAATTGTGATCTCTGAAGGGTCCACAGCTCAGAAGCCACAACTAATCTTTGCAGTTCATGAATTTGATCAGATCCACAGTGGGGGCAGACATAATTTGTATATCATCTGCAGATTCATTTTGACATGAATGCCATTCCAAATCAAAGAATTTGAGATTCAAGGAAGACGCAGCTTCATGCTGTAAAAGCCTAACATTTCAGAAAGCAACAGAATCTAACAATGAAACTAAAAAAATTCAACTCAGAAAGGTTGATATAAGATTTCTGGCAGTTAGATATCCAAGGCAAAAACACAAGAAAACAAAATAACAAAACGAAGAAATCAATTGAATAAGATGATTCATGATGTTGACAAATAAGATGGTTTGAATAAGAAATAGTTTCAGACATCCAAGGAAGGAATATAGCAGCATTAGCTCTCAAGCCCGGCGAAGGCGAAAGCTCTTAGGCGGCCACTGCGAATGTTCTGAGAAACAAGCCTTTGGAATTGTCATCATCAACACATTATATTTTACAAAAAAGACAAATTATACTAACAGTTAAACATGATCGAAAATAAAATTCATATAAACAAAGATAAGAATTGTTATACAAATAGTCAAGGTGACGATCATTGTTATGACAATTTCAAGAGGTGAATTATATGGGATTGATTCATAAGTTTAGCTCAGACATCCAAGGAAGGATAAAAGCAGCATTAGCTCTCAAGCCTGGCGAAGGCGAAAGCTCTCAGTCGGCCACTGCGAATGTTTGAGAAACAAGCCTAAGGATATCATCATTGTGAAGAGATCTTTAAAGGGTAAATAACAAAACAAACCAAGGAAATTAAGTAAAATTAGTGAAAGAATTGATCTAACATCCAACAATGATCAGCAAGGCTTGAAAAACAAAGCAGACAACGTGAAAACGATGGACGTTAATAATGCTGATGGAATAGCCGTGAAACCCCAAATTAACAATGTGAAAAACAAAATCTAAGATCCATAAGAAAACGAAAGCTTCAATATCCCGACATTAGAGTAAAAGAGTCTCAGACATCCAAGGAAGGATAAAGACAGCAGAAGCTCTCAAGCCCGGCGAAGGCGAAAGCTCTCAGGCGGCCACTGCGAATGTTTTGAGAAACAAGCCTTATAAATTCATCCTCACAGACCCATTACCGAATTATCAGCAGCTAATCTACAGCATAAACCGTATAAATCCAGAACAATCAAGGATAGTGAAATTTCGGGAGAAGAAAAGTTTCAAAACCAAAAGAGCATAATAATAAATAAAAAAAAAAAAAAAGAAGAACTGAGCCAGTATAACGAAAGAGATTGCGAGCTAATTCCATGAAGATTGTAGAATCGAAGCCGCCACAAACGCAGAAGAGAAAGCAGAAATCAGTACGGCAAATGAGGTGCGGGAGAGTGTGGTTTTATAGAATAAATTAGGGTTTCTGCAGACAACGGCTATAAACCCTTGAAAACCAAAACGAACAATCCAGATATCACCGGATTTTATTTATTTTTCTATTTAGATTCCGCGCATTAGATGGAAAAAAAAAAAAAAATCATACTATTTTCCTTTTCATTATAATAATATAAAAAAAAGTTAATATATCATTTACTAAGTCGATAACATTTAAAAGATTTTAATTTTGCCTCATTTTTTAACTTACTTTAAAAAATAATATTTTGCAATAAAATTTATTAAAACACTAAAAAAAAGGGTTAAATAAACATAAGTCAGTATATATTATCAATCAATATATTAGACTATTATAAAAATTTAATTTTTTGAGAGAAAAAAAACAAAATTCGTGGACTATAATATATTTATTTATATATTATCGATAAAAAAAAAATGAGATTTTTATAAAATTTGGAGGGAAAAAAGGGTACAAAACACGTGGAGATTGGTAATTGGATGATTACTGAAGGACCGAATTGCACAACTTTCATGCAAGACCTTTCGTGCAGAAGGGGACAGCTTCGATACTCTCTTTACGATATATGGCTTCATCAAGCTCCAATTACTTCGCCATCTTCAACTTCTCTATCCCAAGAATTCATGTATCGAGCTCTGGATTAGGCTGAATCAATTAAAATGGTAATCTTTGTTGTGGCTGTTTTACAATGTTGTTCTGATCTCACATTTCTATACTCGAATTTGCTCCTGCTTTGTTTGTGAAGTTTAAGTATTGATTTTTCTTCTCCTTCTCACTTTTGGAACTTCAGGAAGTTAAGCGGAGTTTGGAGGCTGCCATAGAGGAGCTCCTACATGTTGAGAAGCAGATGCGAATCGCTGAAGACGTCGCCGGTGCTAAGAAGGCTGCAATCGACATTCTAAAGCTCTGTTTTGAAGCGCGGGCATGGAGTATGCTCAACGAACAAATTGTGCTCCTCGTGAAACGCCGCGGTCAGCTTAAGCAGGTTTTTCGATTGTTTCAGTTTTTGCATTCTCGTAATTAGTTTATTGAGTTTAGATCTTGGGTTATTTCCACTGTAAGTGAGTTTGGTGTTTTAATTTGTGCCATGTTTGGAAATTTCATTGAATTTCCTCATTGAAAAATTTGATCTCTGTGTTGCTGGAGTTGTACCTGGTGGATCATTTCAGTCTTAACTTACATGATATTGGAAATTGATGTAAAATATGGAAAATCTGGTTGTTCCTTAGGTTGTAACTGCAATTGTCCAGCAAGGAATGCAACATGTTGATGAAACACCAGATCTTGAAACTCGTATAGAGCTTTTCAAGACACTCAATAATGTTTCTGCAGGAAAGGTAATTAATGTAAATAAGTGATCTCATTTGATCAGTTGTTATTTTATCTCTACGAATCGACTTCGCTATCTACAGATATATGTGGAAATTGAGAGAGCTCGGTTGATAAAAAAACTAGCAAAGATTAAAGAAGAGCAGGGTCTCATAGCGGAAGCTGCAGATTTGATGCAAGAAATTGCGGTCAGCTATTATATTTAGAGGAAATTTCTAGATGTTTGTGTTATGTTATATAAGAAATATGAACCTCTTGGCTTCGTAGATTGTCTGATATTTGTGCGTTTTCTTTCCCTTCTCCAGGTCGAGACTTTTGGTGCCATGGCAAAAACCGAGAAAATTGCATTCATTCTTGAACAAGTAAGCACATCTGTTATTTTTCATTATAGCCATTTTAAGGAATTGTATCTTATATACTGAATTTGAAGTAAAGAGTCATATATTGGTGGTGTGTTGATGTAATTTTGCAGGTTCGATTGTGCTTAGACCGCCAGGATTATGTTCGTGCTCAAATTATTTCAAGGAAAATTAGTCCCAGAGTTTTTGATGTAGATGATTCAAAAGAGAAGAAAAAACCCAAAGAAGGTGAGAGTGTGGTTGAGGATGCCCCTGCTGATATACCATCGCTGATGGAACTGAAGAGAATTTACTATGAACTAATGATAAGGTAAACAGTGCTAGTACATTTTAGTTAATTTCCAAACTTTGAGTACTTTTATTGTTTGATTCTGACGTTGCATTCCCATTTGAATGATTCTTTTGAGCCCAACGTGTCTACTAGGAGAGGTTTCTACAACTTTATAAAAAAAAAATCCGTTCCCCTCTCCAATCTACCTATGATCTCACAATTCACCCTCCTTCGGAGACAAAATCCTCCCTAGCAGATATTGTCCTCTTTGAACTTCCCCTCAAAGTTTTCAAAACGTGTTTGTTGGGGAGAGGTTTCACACTCTTATAAATGCTTCATTTCTTTCTCTAGCCAATGTGAGATCTCACAATCCACCCCCTTTTGGGATCCAATTTCCTTCTCTGGCACTCATTCCATTCTCCAATCGACGTGGGATCTCACAATCCACCCTCCTTTGGGGCGAGCATGGCACTCGTTCCTCTCTCCAATCGATATGGGATCTCACAATCCACCCCCTTCGGAGAACAATCATTTACTTTTTTATTATTTATTGTCCTCTTTGGCTTTTTCCTTTCGAACTTTTCCTCAAGATTTTTAAAAGCATGTATGCTAAGGAGAGGTTTCCACACCCTTGTAAATAATATTTCATTTCTCTCTCCAACCGATGTGGGATCTCACAGCAACCATCAAACATCCACTTGAATCTACTTCGTAGTACTAGCCTTGGGTTTCTTGATTCCTCATGAATCTCTTCTGAAATGGAACTTATCATTTTGTACTGGTTTTTATAATTTCTGTAGGTACCACTCTCATCATAATGAATATTTTGGGATCTGCCGTAGCTATAAGACCATATATGAGATTCCTTCCATCAAAGATAACCCAGCAGAATGTATACCGGTAAAGTTTCTTTGTTTTTGTTCTTTTTTTGATGTTGAACTTCTCTTATAGTTTACTACTTCGTTTACTTGCAGATCCTAAGAAAAATCTGTCGGTATCTAGCTTTATCACCACATAGTCCAATGCAGTCTAGTCTCCTCAATTCCACATTGGAAGATAAGAATCTTTATGAGATTCCAAATTTTAGGCAAGTTTCTCATGGAATCAGATTTTTTTTTTTTTTTTTTTTTTTTTTTTTTTTTTTTTTTTTTTTTTTTTTTTTTTTTTTTTTTTTTTTTTTTTTTTTTTTTTTTTTTTTGCTTCTTCCATTTAGAAGCTCTATGTTCATAAGTTCTTGGGGAAAGAAACATTCATGAGATTCCATTATTTGATACATTCCGCTTGTTTGATGGTTTTTATTCCAACATTTCTATTGTAGATTGTTGTTAAAACAGCTAATCACAATGGAGGTTATTCAATGGACATCTCTATGGAATACCTTAAAGAACGAGTTTGAGAACGAGAAGAATTTTCTTGGTGGTGCTTTGGGTGACAAAGCTGCCAAAGATCTAAGACGGAGAATTATCGAACACGTGAGTGATCTCTGGAAGAATTCGGGTTCAATCCTGATGAACTGATTAGCTGAAAGTGATTTGTTTCCTGATGCTTTTCAGAACATAATAGTCGTTTCAAAGTATTATGCAAGGATTGCGTTAAGCAGATTTGCAGAGTTGTTGTGTCTCAGTCTTCAGGTATATGTTCCTGTTCGTCACAATAACTTCTTTTTCTTGTTTTGAATAACAGCGTTGAATGCTAAAGAAGATCTTTTATCTAACTCAGGAAACTGAGAAGCATCTATCTGATATGGTTGTATCCAAAGCTCTAGCTGCCAAGATAGACAGGCCAACAGGAACAGTCTGTTTTGGCACGACGAAAGATAGCAGCGACGTTCTTAATTCCTGGTCGATGAACTTGGAGAAACTACTCGATCTCGTCGAGAAGAGTTGTCAGCAAGTTCACAAAGAAACCATGGTACATAAAGTTGCTTTCAAAGTTTGATGAGAAGAATAATAGCCATGATATTATTGACTTGCCATCTTTTGCTGTTTGGCTGGGCATTGATGAGCCGATTGTTGTAGTGTTTGCTGAAAATTATGTGTCTAATAACTCCTGGAACCGATCTTTAAACTTCAAAGAAAGATTTTACTTTTTTTTAGAGAACTGTTTCATTAAATATTTTTATCAAAAATATATATAAATGGCACTGAAAATGTACATGGAGACAAATAGGAGGTGTTGAATGAAAGTTTCACATCAGCCCATTTAGAGAATGATCGTGAGTTTATAATCAAATAATACTATCTCCATTTCTATTAGACCTTTTGGAAAGTCCAAAGCAAAGTTATGAGAGTTTAGTCTTAAAGTAGACAAATCATGGAAAGTCGTGTTCATCTAAAACTAGAGACGGAGACAAGGAAGGTTTTCATGTGAATAATCCAATCCATCCGAAGGAGTGTCGATTAAGAAAAATGTATATGAAAACAAGCAAAGTTTTAGTCTTGGGCAAAGTATTCATTCTGAAAGCCATTAATGGAAGTAATTACACAACACTGCCCACTTGACGAAATCCTTACAAAATTGGCCTTTTCATGCAGTTGACAATTGTACTATGTTTTGACCTTTTTTTGTTGTGTAATTATCTTTGACTAAATTATTCAACTAGTCGGTTTGATTTTGACTACTTATTCGACTACAAAATATCTAACCTAATTTTGGCTCCTATTATATTATCGTATGACATATAATTTTTCATCATTAAATATATAATATAATAAATATCTTGTTTTATATTCAATAATTATTACAAAATTTTTAATTAACTACGACAGGATTACATTTAATAATTAACCTATTAAATAATATGCCTAGCGAGTTTTAATTTTTTTAATGAAATATAATTTTAAAAATGTCGACACCGACTTAATTCTTTGCTTTTATATTTGTAAAATAAAAGTAAATGTTTTTACTTTCCATCTCAGTTATATATCTTTTTGTTGATATTTATATTCAAATTGAACTATTGAATTATTATATTATATTTTTTTATTAATAATAAAAATGTCAAATATATCGTATTTAGTGTTAAATTATAGTTTACATATCTATTTCTCGCCCATGATTCTTTTCATTTATTAATTTTTTTATATTCTTATAATTTATTTTATTATATATTTTATCATATTGATTAATACCTTATATTCTTATAATTTATTTTATTGGAATCAATTCACAACAAAAAGAAACAAACCGACTCAAAGATCATACTCCCTGCCAGATTTGAGAAGCCTTTGAAATATTACGTGAAATGTTCAAATCCCATCAAATTGTAACAAGAAAACCAAGAATTTTCGATTTTCCACGCCAAAACAAAAGTCTCAACCTCAAATCTATTAATTCAATTACCTATCTCGACCGGAAATCCAAAACAGATAACGTAATCATCCCGACGAAGCAGCATGATTGAAAAATTCAGACCAATCTGAAGTCGGAAAAGGCTCATTGTCGCTGCTCCAGCGACCGGAGACGGACTGAGGCGGGAAGGAAAGAGAAACCCCCGGCGAAGAAGATGACGACGACGAAAATTGAGAATTCGACAGTCTGGCGGTTGAAGAATGAAAAGGAGAAGCCATTGAAGAAGAAGATGAGAAGTTAATTTCACTGAATGTGTCGATCGGCGGCTGCAATTGACCGTTGGAGAAATTGATGAAGTTCACCGGCGAAGCAATGGAAGAGCTCGGCAAGTTAAGAATTGGCTGAGAATGGACAATCGATTCGGAATTTGTGGGAATTGCCAAAAGGGTGTTTGTAGAATTGGAATTGCTGAAATGAGTAGCCGGCGACTGTCGGAGGCGGACATTTTCCGGGAAGTTGAGTTTAGCTTTACTGCCTCGGAATCGGAGCGCAGCTTCGTCGTATGCCCGTGCGGCGGATTCCGCCGTGTCGAACGTACCTAACCAAAGTCTCGTCGCCTTATTCGGGTCTCGGATCTCGGCCGCCCATTTGCCCCATGGCCTCTGTCTTACGCCCCTGTATTTTCTTCTCGCCGGTGGTTGCTCTGCCGTGATTGGAATCTCTCCGCCGTATTCAAAGACCGAATTTTCCATCGCCAACGACCCTGTTTGTGGCCTTTTGGTCACTCCATTGCTTGAATCTCCTGAAAAACAATGATAATTTGTTCAATAACAGCGAATAGTTCTCTGATTTAAAGGGATTCAATGAATTCCTCTGTTTCTTAATCCTGAAACCAAAATGATTTGAAAAACTCAATTTTACCCACAAAAATTTCATTCTTTTTATTTGCAAACAACAAACAAATTTAAAATCCTTCAGCATTTTGTATTACTTAGCAGCAACCAAAAAGCTCACCTGAAATTACAGAGGATTGCGGCCACGTTGAAACAGAGCCACCGTCTTCCAGCGCCAGCGTTCGGCCTCTCTTATGTCCACCACCGCCATAAGGGGCTGATGCTACAGCAGAAGCAGAAACAGAGGAGGAGGTCCAAGCGGAATCATAATAAGCATCTCTGTCCGGCACATCTCCGGCGACGACGTGGGTCAGAGCCGAAACCATGGCCGACATCTCCATCTCGCTACTGAAACCCAAAAACAACATCTCTGAAGACCTGGTGTCCTCTGGATCCGCCATGCAATAATTTAAATCAAAAGCGATTCCTCTTATGGAAATTTGAACTGGGTTTTTTTATTTATTTTTATTTTTTTCCTTTTGATATGAAGGTTATATATAATAAAACTATAAAGGATCTTTGAGAATTTAATGTTCATAGGCGTTTCCATTGGAATGAACGCGCCGCCATAATAAGGATGTCGGTTGCTCTCTCTCTCTCTCTCCACGAATTCTTCAAGTTGAAGCATTCTTTTCAAAACAAAACCAACTTGAATTTAACTTTTAAATCAGAAAGTATCGTTTAACTTTTTCTTCCTCTATTTTAAAATGTTTTCTTTACAACCATTTTTATTATTATTTTATTGAATATTTAAATTTGTAACACGTTGAATATTAGAACTATATTTTGACAGTGTCATGGGTCGATTATCGATCAATAGTTTTGAATGAGTTGTAAGAACATATATCATCATAATGCTCAAAGTGACGTCACGAAATATTAGTATAAGCAAAATTGGCTAATGATTAAGTTGTAAAATTATTAAACGAGAATATCATAATTTTAAAATGTATTTAAGTGATTATTTGAAAATATAACTATTTTTAAATATAATATAGCTTCAATATGGGCGTCTTATTGAATAAAGAAATTAATTTGGCTCTCAAAATAATAGGTGAGGTTTAATCCACGTGGAAAAGTAGATAATGGGTTAGACCAAGTCAAAGGGAATAGATTAAGGATGGTACAGACACGTGTGAACTGGGTAGTCTGGATATTGTGGTTCCCCACGGTCCACACTCGCAATGCCGACTTGGCTTCTTATATTTTCTATTCATTTTTTTTTTAAATATAAATTTGGTTATTACTGGCCAGCTTTTTATTATTATTATTATTAAATAATTCATCCTTTATTAAAATTTATATATATATATATTTTGTAGGGTTTTCAAATTTTAACATGAATTGAAAAAAGGTTAAAAGTATATAACAAAACTGTAGTTTCTTAAAAAAAAAAAAAAAAAAAAAAAAA